CAGGAAGCGCATGGGGGGGAAGCTCCTGGATTGGGCGAGTCGGCAGGCAGCTGTTTACCCGTTGCCAGGCGACGCCATCGCAGCCCTGGAGATGGAGGTGGACGCGGCAGCGGTCGGCCCCGCTGCTGCGACGGCAGCAGCAGTGGCGCAGCAACATCGGCGAGCTCATCCCTGCCACCTCCTGCGGAGGGCGGCTCAGAGGGCGACTCCGCGGGGGTGGACGTATACGACGTAGACTCGAGAAGCCGACCAGCAGCAGCGAGACACGGTCGAAGGCGCCCAGGGTGGCCAACCTCGTGGTGCCCGTGGGCGTCAGTGAACCTGCTCACTTGGGACTCGACGGCGAGGACTGCGAGCGGCTGCAGCTGTTCGCGGCGTCCGCGCGTGATCGGGAGATTCCGACAGCGCGGGCGTGCGACCTCGCGCCAGAGGCGGCGGCGTGCGACAGCCGTTCGGGCGAGGTGTTGCCGAGGGAGCTCGTGGTGCAGGGGCGCCAGCAGGAGCTCAACCAGATGGCCGCGCTCGGCGTATGCGAGGACGTGTCCGACGGCACGAGCGTAGGCAGGCGCATACGGAGCAAGTGACTTGACGGACTCCGGTGCAGGCCAGACGGGGCGCCCACCGCACTGTCCAAACCCGTTGCCATGGACTTCAACCTCTTCGAGCGCGACGACGCGGCGGCAGGTGCGCCATACCTCTCCTTCTTGCGCCTGGTGGCGTCCGTGGCTGCCTCGATGCCCCCATCGATCGGGGCAGAGGCAAGTGGCTCTGTGCGATGCCAGCGCGGCGTTCTTCCACGCGGACATGGACGAGCGGTTGTGCGTGATGCCACCGCCTGGGCTGCGACGACCGCGGCGGGTCTGGCAGTTCCACGAGGCGCTCCACGGCACAAGACCTGCGTCAAGGTTGCGGCAGGCATACGCCGGCGACTTCTTCTAGAAGAGTCAGCCACCATGGGTTCGGATAGCGCCGTGCCCTGGTGCCTTTCTCAACGAGACGGTGGACGTCGCGCTGGGCGCGCGCGGAGGCGGCATCGCGGCCGAGGGGGCCTCGGCGAAGCTTGACGTGCTCGACGCGCTGTTTGAGGAGCACAACGAGATCAAGACGCTGGGTCGAGCGGGGCCGGGTGCCACCGGCGGTCGCCGCGGCAAGCTGCTCAAGCGACACATCGACTGGCGGGAGGCTCCGTCTCCTCGCTTCGTGTGGAGAGCAGATGACGCGCACGTGGACAACCCACTGAAGCTTTTGGACCTGCCAGCTGACACGACAAAGCCTCAGACGAGCCCAGGCTCGAAGGCCACGGGGGGCTCCGTGCCCGGGGGGGGCGTGCCGCGGGTGCGGTATGCAGCGTAGATGATCATGGCGGAGGCGTCGAAACCTACGCCACTCGCTGAAGTCAGGCTCAAGCGTGCTGCGCGGCACCTGGTGGGGTGCCCAGTGACGGAGTGGCACTGCCCCTTGCAGGACCTCCCAGTTACGGCGGACGTCGAGGGCGACAGCGACTGGGCAGGAGCGGATGACGCGAAGTCCACGCAGTGCACGGTGATGGTGTTTGGTGATCATTGCGTGTAGGTGATTACGTCGACGCAGGGCTACGTAGCGACGTCAAGCGGGGTGGCAGAGCTCCTGGCTCTCGACAGGGCGGGTGCCTCCGCTATCGTGTTGCAGCAGATCCTCGCACTGTGCGGGGTCCACGCGCAGGGAGTTGGTGGTGCGGACAGCTCGGCAGCGAGGGGAATGGCCCGCCGTGTGGGGTCAGGCCGAGTGCGGCATCTCCGTATCCAGGACTTGTTGATACAGGAGCGCGTGCGGACGCAGGATCTGAAGGTGATCAAGTTGGACACGGCGGTGAACCGAGATGCTGACACCGTGACGAAGTACTTGGACGTCTCGAGGATTGAGGTCTTGCCGAAGCTCATGGGGCTAGAGACAAGTGGGCGCACGGCTGCCCATGCGAGCGACTCCACTGCGGCTATGCAGAAGGTAGTTTTGGCAACGGTGTATGTGCGTGGCGCAGCGGGGGCTACCGCAGCCGCGGGGGAAGGCCAGTATGGCGGCAGCACGATTGGCATCGTCATGCCGTTGTTCCTGTTCAGTCTCGTGTACATGACTGGAGCCACGGTAGCGGCGTGCTACCTCGCCAAGAGGCGCTCGAGGGAGCGCAAGCCCGACATTGCGGGCGGCGAGGTGATGGATGGCACTGACGACGGGCGAGACGACAGCGCCCAGGGCGGACGAGAGCGGGAAGCACCGCCTCTGGCCACAGAGGGCGTGAGCGCTCAGGGCGGGCGAGAGCGGGAAGCACCGCCTCCGGCCACGGAGCGCGCGAGCCGGGGATCGGCGGCGGGGGGCTCCGCGCCGATCAAGAGTGAAGGACCTCGGCAGCAACGACAGGTCGCGTCGAGGATCGCGGAGTGCCAGTACGAGGAGCTCCGCGGCGTTCCACTCAGCGGCGAGCAGATAGCCGTCAGACACGAGCTGGTGCGCTACAAGGTGGACGAGCTGACGGCGGCGCTGAGGGCGCGGGGCCCCAGCGTGGCGGGGCTATCCAGGGCCAAGCGGGGCCCGAGGCTGACCATCGACGAGCTGGTCGGGTCGGCTACGACGGCCGCGGGCGCGCCCAGCTGAAGGCGCCCAGCGACCCCTGAGAGGCCGCCCCCAGCGGGAGGCCCCGCGAGGGGGCGCCGCGCCTCGCTTCGCAAAGACACGGCGAGGAGGCGTGCCAGTGCTGTGAACATAGTTTTAGGGTTGTTGGGAGGGCGCTGTGACGCAGACCTCTCGGCTCAAAAAGGATCGCGGCTCCGCGGGGGGCGCCGCGCGCCCGAACTTTATTAGGGCCCGCTGGTTGGGCAGCCTGAATCTATCGCCGGTTGCGCCCCCCATGCAACGCGCGGAATCTCCCCGGAGAAAAGCCCGATAGAAGGATGCCGTGGATGGGGGCGGGCCCAGGGCCAGCCGGCTTCTGACCCCGACATCGACAGTGCTGCCGCCGATCGCGACGAGTGGGACGTCCCCGAGTCCGAAGACCCCAAGGATGTTATCGCGGCAGCCGAGCCCGAGCCGCTACCGCCGCCGCCGCCGCCGGCAGCGCGAGGGGCAGCGCCTGGGCGATGGGCTGATTGGAACCAAGCCGCGCAGGAAGATGCATCTACATTCGCTCGGGGTGGGCCTGGCAGAATACTAGATTTGTTTGGGGTAGCTCTGCAACCGCCTGTGTCCCGCCCGCGCGAGATTGAGCTGGTCGCGCCCCGTGGGCGGCTGGGGGGGCATGGGAAGAACGCGATGGCACCAGCGCCGTGCCTCACTCGCGGTGAAGTCGCAGACAACGGCGATCGCTTGCAAGCGAGCTGTGACTCCTACTGGAATGTGCGATCGCGTGGATGGCGTTGCCGATGATGCACCGGGCCCGCGAATGCCCCGGGGTTGCGCTTGCTATTGTTGCGGGATCGCGGGGCCCATGTTCTTGATGGACCGCCCCAGGCAGACCGCCCTGCGCGTTGTCGAACTCATCCACCAGCCCGAGTTGGCGCACGCCCTACTGGACTCCCCGTCTTGCATGACGAGCCCGTTTGCATGTGAGTTTACAGCCAGGTACAGCACAGCCCCCGCGCGGCTCGAGTTGTTGATGATAGGCCTGCAGATGCGGACCGAGATCATGACTACTGAATGCCGCCACTTCTTTTTCCGTCGCTGGATTCAAGCGATGGTCCAGGCCCGCGGGCGGCGCTTCACCGACGTCTCGTCAGTTTTCTTTGTGATGTGGGCGCGACGCCTTGCGCAGGACCGCGCGTGGGCCAATCGGCCCACCAAGCCCTCCAGGAGGCGTGACACTCGAGACCGTAGGCGCAAGTCTGCCAAGTTCAAAGGCAAACCATACAGCGTGGGAAGGAGACGGCGGACTGCGTTGAGTGGTATCTAGCGGCCTCCAGCCCCTCCCCGCCGCCGTGCCGTGGTTGTGGCTCCGAGGTTTGGTGGGTGCTCGTTGGGGTCTCGTACGAAGAATTCCAGGGGCCTCCTGGAGGCAATTGTGGGGCCTGTAGGGGGCGTGTGATGTGTGTGTGTGTGTGTATGTGTGTGTGTGTGTGTGTGTGCGTGCGTGCGTGCGTGCGTGCGTGCGTGCGTGCGTGCGTGCGTGCGTGCGTGCGTGCGTGCGTGCGTGCGTGCGTGCGTGCGTGCGCGTGTGCGCGTTCGCGTGCGTGTGCGTGTTCGTGCGCGTGTGCGTGTGCGTGTGCGTGTGCGTGTGCGTGTGCGTGTGCGTGTGCGTGTGCGTGTGCGTGTGCGTGTGCGTGTGCGTGTGCGCGTGCGCGTGCGTGCGCGCGTGCGTGCGTGTATGTGTGTGTGTGCCGATCTGAAGCGGCAACGCCATGGGGTCACGAAGCGTGTGAGGGGTTTGCCGGCATGGGCTAGCGAGTATGCGGGCCTTGGCATGTGGGCCTTAGGTGGAGCTCTCATTGATCCACGAAGCGTGTAAGTGTTGTGCCGAAATGAGGCGGCGATGCCATGCGGCCCCTGGTATTGGGGTCTTAGCCGGAGCTCGTTACAGTGTGGCCACGAAATAAGGAAGGGGACGTTTATGAGGACATGCGCAGTGCAGAGGTAGGGACGGGAGGACGGAGTGAAGGAGAGGGAGGATAATGAAGGAGGCTGAGCAGATGGAGGAGGGGCAGGAGGAGGAGGAAACGCAGGACGAGGAGGAGGAGGGGGAATCGGTCGTCGCTGTCGTGCTTGTCGCTCCCCTCCCCCCTGTCCTTGACACTACTGCTGCATAGGGTTCCAGCCGCCGGTGACAACCCTGCAGGACGGCCACAGTTTCGCTCCCGCTGCGAGATGAGACAGCCGCCAGCGTCAGGACGAGGATAAGACGACGACGACGACGGCGACGATGACGACGACGACGACGACGACGACGGCGACGACGACGACGACGAAGACGACGACGACGACGACGACGACGACGACGACGACGACGACGCCCGCGGTGGCATGCCGCACGCCCGCAGGTCGCCAGACGAGGTGCGCTGCTCCGTGCTGCAGGATGCATGGTGCGCCGCGGGCCGCGGCAACCCCGACCTTCTGGAGGCGAGGCGCGCGGGTGCCGCAGGGACCCTCCCGTTCTCCAGCATCTCCGTCCTCTCTTCTCATCTCTCCTCTCCTCCTTTTCGCCCTCTTCCTCCTCCTCCTCCTCCTCTTTACTCCTCCTCTTCCTCCTCCTCCCTCAGTATCCCTCTACACCTCATCTCTTCCTCCTTTCTCCCACTCCTCCTCCTCCTGCTCCCCCTCCCCCTCCTCCTCCTTCTCCTCCTCCTCCTCCTCCACCTCCTCCTCCTCCTCATCATCATCCCTCCTCCTCATTATCCTCGCCCTCCTCCGCCTCCTCCTCCTCCTCCTCCTCTCGTTCCGTGGAAATTTTGTCTCAAGCCAGATGAACCGTATTGTGCACCTAGATTCCGACTGAGGGTTGCTTTGGAAATTTGTTGGGTTGTCTTTCGGGCAACATCATGGCTCTTTGGGGCTTGTCGGGGATGTATAGAGGGGATCTTGGGCCGTCGTGGAGGGATTTCGAAATCATCCAGGGCCGTCGTGGAGGTTCGATGGACAGAAAAGGCGAGCGTGCCAATCTCGCACCGCAACCATGTCTGCTTCTTGGAGGGCTTCGGGTTTCCTCCTGGGTAGCCTCTTGGGCCGTGTTGGGGCCGTCTTGGCGCCATGTCGTTTTGTCGTTGGCCCGCCCAGGTCGTTCCGGTGCTTCCTGGAACCAATGAGCAACCTTTTTGGGTTGTCTTGGAGCCTTCTTGGGCCGTGTCGGGCTCGTTTGGGGCTGAGAGGGAAAGATGAGCCGATTTGAGCTACAGGTGGTCGGCAGATTTGGCGCGGCCGGCAAGGGGACCGGGAGGGCAATGACACAACGATTGCTTTACATGTGTGCGTCGTATGTGCTTTACGCACGCAGAACGGATGTTGTCTGGAAGGCTACGCCCAAAAGCCGGCTCCCTGGCCCGCTCCTACGTCGCAGTGCAGCGGTGGATCCCTCTCGCATCGCGGAGTGCACATCTGGAGCACGTACAGTTAAGTCGTTCGGGGGCCTCTTGTGAGCCTCTTGGGAGCCTGTTGGAAGCCGTTGGTGGGCCTCTTGGGGCCACTTGGGGGCTTCTTTGGGGCCTCTTGGTGGCTCTTGGGCCGTCTTGTGGTCCTCTTTGGGCCATCTTGGTGTGCTCTTGGGCCGCCATGGGGGCCTCTGAGGTCGTCTTGGTGCCACCTTGGACGCTTCTTGGCCCTTTTTGGCCCGTCATGTGCCTTGGAAAGTCCAAACACCTAAGCACAGATAGTGTTTTGGTGTATTTGGAAGCGCTTTGGGGGGTCACCTTGGGTCCCTCTGGCACCATGTTGGGGGCCTATTGGGCCATCTTGGGCCGTCTTGGGGCCTTCTTGATCCGTGTTGACGCCATTTCGAACCGTCTTGAGGTCTTTTTGGACTCTTCGGAAGCCCGAGAGGCAAGAATGAGTGAATCTCTTTGGAGTTTGACCAGTTTGTAGGTGTAACTGGACAATGGAACAACATGGGTCGGCACGTTCGGAGGCCATGTTTACCAATTTTGAGGCCGTTTGGACCCCACAGAGGCCCCAGAGGCCGAAATCATAAATATTCCGTAAGGTTTTGCACGTTGTTTGGCCCCAGACGTGGGGTGCCACTTTTGGTCCGCTGATGTGGCGCGACTCCGGGGCGGGCAGGGGGAGACGCATGACAAATGGCAAAGTTAAAGAAGACAACTTGTAGCAGTTAGGGAATAATTGTATGTGCGGGCTACGTTGACTACCGAGGTGCTTCGCTGCTTTCCAGACGTGGACTCCTCCCGCTTCGCGGGGTGCACGTCCAGAGCACGTAAAGACTGGGCGCTGGGTGGTTTGCCCTGCTCGTCCGCCGCGAAGTTCTGCCGTTCTGCCCGCCCAGGGGCGCTGCCAGTGCCACGGGTGGCGGCTGCGTCCCCCCCGTTGAGAAATGTCAGCACAAGGCAACGCCAATGTCAAGTTACGATGAGCATAGCAAGAACGCGCCATTCGTATACGGTTCCGCGGGTGTCTTGATGGGTTCTTGGGGCCGTTTGGGAGTTTCTTGGGGGCCCTTGGGGGCTTCTTCGGGGCCCTTGGGGATTCTTGGGAGCCTGTCTCAGGTTTCTTTGGGGTCTCTATGGGCCTCTTAGAGGCGTCTTGGGCCGCCTTGAGGCGCTTTTGCGCCGTCTGGTCCCTCCGGAGGCTGTTTTGGTTTGGGGGCCTATCGGGGCCGCATTGTGGCTGTCTTGGGGTCCTCTTGGGCCGGTCTGGGTGCCTCTTTAGCTGTCCTGGGGCTCTCTTTGGGCCATCTTGAGGCCTACCTGGGCCGTCTTCTTTGCAGCGAAGTTCTGCCGTGTCGCTCTTCCCGCCCAGGGGGCGCTGCCAGCGCCACGGGGGCAGATGCACCCCCCCCAAGTCAGTGCCGGGGGGAGCGTGCGAGTGTCCACGAGGGCGATGAGCATCCACCACGTGTCAGCACAGGGCAATGCCAAGTTGAAATTTCGATGAGCATAGCAACACCATGCCAGTCGAATGTTGTTCCGCGGGCCTCTTGGTGGTTTCTAGGAGCCGTTTGGGGGCTTTTTTGATGCCTCTCGGAAGTTTCTTTGGGGCTCTTGGGGGCCTCTGGGGGGCCTCTCGGGGGCCTCTCGGAGGTTTCTTTGGTGCCCCTGAGGGCCTCTCGGGGGCCTCTTGGGGGTCTCGTTGAAGCCTCTTGGGGCCTCTTGGGGGCCTCTCGGGCCTCCCTTTCGGAAGCAATCTTGGAGGCCCTGAGGCTGCCTTGTGGCTCTCTTGGGGTTCTTTTGGGCTGCTTGGGGCCTCTTAGCTTTGAGCTTGAGCCGTCTTGAGGCCCTTTGAGGGGCCTCCAGGGCCGTCTTGGAACCATCCTGGAGGCTGATTCGGCCGTCATGCACACGCGAACATCAGTTTGAACCCTTCCGAAAATCTTTTTTTTTGGCTTCTAGAGGTGCTCTTGGAGGCCCTCCTTGGAGCCATTTGGGGCGCCTTTGAGACCTCTTGAGCCCTCGTGGCGTCATCTAGTCCCGTTTTGGAGCCACCTTGAGCCGTCTGGACTCGATTGCGAGCTGTCTTGAGGCCCCCTTGGACATCCCAAGCGACCCAAGATGCACAAATCATGTATCCCATTTATTTAGATGCCCAGATAGGCTTGGTTGGGAGTGGTCGACGGATGTGGCGCGGTTCCAGGGGTGTCAGGAGGGGATACATCATACATCATGTAACCTGACACAGGATGGGAGAATGAGGGGCCGAACGGTCATCCTCTGTCCCTGGACGCGTGGCTGTGCGGAATGTTGTTGTTGTTATTACTATTGTTGTTAATGTTGTTGAATGTTAATTCCTAAGCAATTAATATTGTTGGACACCTTAACGGCGCTTTGGCGCTCTCGTCGAGGCGCTGGCTACATTTTCATTGAAAATGAGGCTCACGCTAAGCAGTTCGGGGGACCGCCAAAACCGGCCCCCCAACAGCAACGCTCCCGCTCGAGACTTCCTTTTTTACTCATGGCCGGTGTTCTTGCTCGCCGCCGGACGCCGCCGTCCTAACAAAACCAGCGCTCCCGCTCGAGATTTCCTCCCGTTTTACCTTGGACTGGCGCGCTAGTCTTTCTCTCATCGGCGCCGCCCCCAGCAAAAACAACGCTCCCGCTCGAGGCTTCCTCCCTTTTTTACTCAAGGCGGTGCCCCTCCTCGCCGCCGAAAACCGCCGCCCCGACAAAACCAGCGCTGCCGCCCGAGACTTCCTTCCCTTTTACGCTAGACTGGCGCTCTATTCTCTTTTGAATTGGCGCCGCTCCCAGCAAGAACAACGCTCCCGCTCGGGATTTCCTTCCTTTTTCCTCTCGACGGTGCTGTTCCCCGCCGCCGACAGCCCCCGTCCCGACAAAACCACGGCTCCCGCTCGATGTTTCCCCCTTTCTTACTCAAGGTGGTGTTCCTCCTCGTCGCCGAAAGCCGCCGTCCCAACAAGACCAGCGTTCCCGCTCGAGACTTTTCTATTTTCTGCGCTGGACTAGCGCCCTGCTGTCTTCAGCATTGCCGCCGCTCCCAACAACAACAGCAGCCCTGCTCGAGACTTCCTCCCTTTCTATTCAGGGCCCAGTCCTTGCCTCACCGCTGACAGCCCCCATCCCCACCAAGGCAATCATGTCGTTCGATACTTCCTTGTGCTTTACCCTTCGCTGGGGTTCCACTGGCGGTCTCGCATCGGCGCAGCAAGGCGCGGGCATGTGTTTTCGAGGCGTGATATGTTGAAATTCCTCTGAGGAGGTGTTTGCAAGACATCATTGGGCGGGAGATCTGGGAATAGGAATATCGGACGCCGCTATAGAACAAGAGTCCCCCATCACGTGGATGGTTATCATGATGGTCACATGCTTCGTGTGGAAACATCGCGCATGAGGGTAAACTGATTATTGATGTTGTTGTTGGTGTTGCTGTTGTTGTTATTGTTGTTGTTGGTGTTGTTATTGCTGTTGTCGCTAATGTTGTGGTTGTTGTTAGTGTTGTTGTTGTGGCTGTTGCTGGTGTTGAATTTTGTGATTCTAAGGAATACGTGTTATTTCCCCCTTTCGGGGGACATTGTGTTCTTTCAGTTGAAGTGCCCATCCCGGGGCTCGCAGAGGAAGTCTTGGGTCTCAGAATTGTTTCTTGGGCCCCCAGTTCCGGTGTACAACAATAACGGCTCCCGCCTGATACTTCCTCACAATGTATTCCCAAATCGCGCTCTCGCGCTGTACTTTTAATTTACGCAGAAATCGCACTTTCCCGTGGGGGACTTCTCGCAATGGATTCAGACGCCGCGCCTTCGACACTCAGGAATCACGCTCTCGTTGAGATTTCCTCGCATAAATTTGGGAATCTAGCTGTCGTTCGAGACTTCCTCGCGATTCACGCAGGACACACGATTCAGCAATCCGCCTGCTCGGCCTGGCCGCCTGTGCCCGCCTTCCCGACCCGCTTGTTTGGTTCTACCCGCCCAATCTGCCCGTCTGGTTCAGGCACGTGCTTTC